TGAACCACGTACATTTGTCTTCTGTATGCATGTCCATTTATTTATCGAATGCTCTTACATACTGAGGGTCCTCACCTTCAACATCCACCTCATCTTTAAGTTGGTCTAATTACAACCCATCCAGTTTTAGCACCAACACAATTAATTACCCACATGTTAATATACAACTACTTTGTTAAAAATAAAAATAAAAAGTATTAAGGCAAGATAATAAATATATATATATATATATATATATTATATTTATAAGACAATTTAAGAATGTTTATATATGGACTGAAAATTAACTAAATAAATAAGTAGTGTGGCTTATGTATAAATTATATAAATATATAATATTAATAATATAAAATATAAAACTTAGTTGGTACAATCACTTTAATAGCTTATTTATATATATACTATAATATATATATACTACATCAAAAAATTAATATATATTCTAAACATAGAGGGTTCAGGTTGGGGGATTAAAATACCATTTCTGCCCCTCCCCGAACATCATACCCAAAAAATTCCCCATATCTGTTCGCATACCCCTTTTTTTGTCCTTCATACCTGATCCATTAGAGCAGTTCCAGCCCAACTCCTTGCCCGGGCAAGGGGGCCTAGGCACAAAAAGTTTTTCCAACAGGCAAATGCAGCCAGGGCAGTTGGTGGGCTCCACAAGCCTGGGCAGGCCTAAAGGCAAGAATAGCATGAGCTGTTGCTTGGGTTTGCTGACGTCATCAACGAAAAAAAAATTAAAAAATCTAAAAAAATACTAAAAATTTTAGTTTTTTTTTTTTTAATAAATACTTAGTCATATTCTTCACTTCCCATACCAAAACTCTATACAAATTCATCTATGTATATCTCATGTGAATAGTGATTGCCCTTAGATTGCCATGGCAATGGGTGGAAACACCACAAGTCTTTTGCAAGGGCTGTCACTATTTATGTGAATAGTAACAACCATTGCCTTGTCCTTTGCCATGGCAAATAGATGGAAGTGCTCTTAGAGCGTTTCCAGCCATAGCCCTCAGCCCTAGCAGGACAGGGCCAGCCCACAGGCTAAACCAGCCTGACCTCTAACCCGGGTTTGCTGACGTCAGCAACAACAACAACAACAAAAAATCTTTAAAAAATTTGAAAAAATACTAAAAATTTCATTATTTTTAAAAAATAAATACTTAGTCATATTCTTCACTTCCTTCACCAAAACTCTATACAAACTCCTCTCCTCATATCTCATGTGAATAGTGGTTGTCATGGCAATGGGTGAAGGGGAATGCTAGCAACCTTCTCTCTAACCTTCTCTTTTGGACCTTCTCTCTTCTCTTCATGACATGTGTCACTTCTCTTTCACTTAAATCAATGTTTTTAATTACAGAAAAAATATTAATTGTGTTTCCATATTTGCCCTTGATAAAACACAAAAACTAATTCTTAAAAATAAAACAAAAATCAGACCCAAAAAAAAAAAAACACCTTAAAAGATAAAACAAAAATCAGACCCCAAAAAAAAATAAAACAACCGCCCACGCCGTCAAACC